ATATAAAGAAATACTGCGCGATTATTTTCATGTTTTAACGTATTTCGAATTAATTAAAATTAATATTTTATTATGACCGCATTGTGTATCTTATTACAAATTTCTATACTACACGTGAAAAAAACGATAAGATTGCTATTGTATATTCGATTATCAGTGATGGAATGGAAGCGCTGTACTGTGGAATAGGGGACCGAAAATATCTGAAAAGCAGCCAGATTATACACATTCGCGCATGCGCTTTACAGAGAATCAACCTCACCCAGTTTAGCTGGTGAAAGTTACATACATATAACGCTTCCAATGATTCTATGCAGGACTGGTTCTGGGCTGTTAGCCGCCTACCTGCTAGATATTTGGCCACCCTCGTCCCATTATGTGAATCCCGAGTAGATTTATAACTTGACCCAACCGACAGGAGTATACTGGTATGTTTTATGATAGTTTTGTATATTTGACAGGAGTTTTAAAAAATCCATTAAAATATTTGATATAGCCTATTTATTCTGCTCTCCCAATTTGTATTACAGGTTTTAATGTTAAACTAGCTATGTTACGATTTAGTAGTAAGTAAGTAAGTAATCTTTATTGGCATAGAAGGCTTTCGCCTGTTACAAGGGCATTTTATTTTGATGAAACGCATATTAACATCTCATATAATAATTTTTTTAACAATATTAGTATTTACCATTTATTAATCAATATATTTATATTAATATTTTGTCATAATTATTATTTAATTAGTTGTTTGACGTAATTATATATCTTATAAATCGTGTTAACATCAGCTCTATCTAATGTCTTGTACATTTCCAGCTCATTAGTACATTTAGCCAGTGGCCCAATCTGGAGCCTTTGTAGTTTATCCTTTTCGTTACAATTTTCACATAAAATATGAATTTTAGATAAATTTTTGGTACAATTTGGGCATTTAGATTGGGTATAGTCTATATATTTGTCATTTATAATTATTCCATTTTTATTTAACCTAATCTGCATAAAAAACTTTTTAATGTTAAAAGCTATATTTGTCAATATATACAGTCATACACCGAAATTACGCGATAGGTGGAACCGAGCGATAACCGCGTAAGTCGAATTCGCGTAAGTCGGGGTATAATTTTGCATATAAATACATACAAATTATTTTTAATTGGGGCCGGAGACTAAAGAAAACAATAATTTAGAAAAAAACGTTTAATAAAATCTTAGATAACACTCATGTATAACAAATTAGGCCTATATTATTTTACAATTTTTCACATTTACTTGATTATTACGCCATAATTTTAACATTGTTTCCATCTCAGCGATAATACTGTGACGTTTAGGAATGATGCTTGAATTTAAAGATTGAGCATTTTTCACAGCTTCGAAAATTTTTTCTATACCTTTTATAATTGTTCTGACCGACAATTCCGGTAGATCAAACTTCTTTGCCAATTCACAAATTTTCATTTTTGTATCGAAGTCTTTAATAATGTTAACTTTACATTCCAAAGATAAAGTTTTTCTTTTCTTGTCTGATGCGGAAGAATCAGTTTTACTTCGTTTGGATGACATAGTAGAGTGTTAAGTTTAATCATATTCGTTATTGTAAACCGCGCTTAAGTTAGGCGCCATCTATTCATTTCTTTTGTATGTCCGACGATCAAAAGACCACTTGGGATCGAGTCTGTTTATAATTTTAAAGGTAATCTTGTCAGTTGTATATACAAAAGGTAAATTGTTTATACAATGAGTCTTTGTTTATTATCTGATAAATGTATACTTTTTTCGTCAATTGTTCACGATTGCAGATGCCTTTTGTGTAAAATCCAAGTCGGATGTATGTAAGCTAATAAATGTTCTCGTTAATCTTATTTCGCCTTTTGAACCAAAAGGCGAAATAAGTTACGTTACAATAAGTTACTTGTACCGTTTACGGTTACAAGAAATCATCACATAGAGTCTCTCGAGTCTCCGTAGGTATAACAAACAGAAATAAATTACACAAAATAAATTGTAGTTATGCGTCGATTCCGCGCGACACGTCCGAACACGTAAGCTGAACAATAGTGTGGGGAGAGTGAATAATCAAGAGTTGCGTGGCGCTCAAACAAAAGACGAATGGACGAGATTTGAAAATCGCGTAACTCCGGGTTCGCGTAAGTCGGGGTATTACTGCAGTTGTTATTTACTGGATAATTTAGAATTGTTGTATACCAGCTTGTATTTTCTCGTTTTTGTATATCTTCAAAGTCTTGGATAATAGAGTATTCCATAACTCTGTGTATTATTTCTTTACTATACCGTTCCATATCATACGTATGATCCATAAACAGTTTAATAGATAAACCATATTTATTTACTATCTTCGATAACTGACTTATCCAACTTCGTCTTAAGTCCGTTTCCCGTGATTTGTGATATAGAAAGAACAGCAATTTTGTTGTTATATCTTCAGCCTTAATAATTTTGAGTAAAAACTTTAAATATCTTTTTATTAGTATAGTATTTATTCTGAATCTATTTGTTTCTAATCTTAAGGCACTTCACTCATTAAAATGTTGCGAATAGAAATCATTAGATATTTAACTAGACAATTTAATCAATTTTATAGTAATAGTATAATACCGGCAAAATAAAACGAAGTTACGATTTAGTATGTCCCATCTACAAGGGGATGCAAAAAAGTGCACAATTCTTGTATAATGTTAAAAAATTAACTGTTACTTTGACAGCATCATTTACAACTAACTTTTTTGAAAGAGATTCACGAAGTACAGAAAAAGCTCTAGAATGATATTTCTTAAATTTACGATTTATGTATCTGTTGTCGTAAAAATTTGTCTTTCAACTTCTTTCCCAAGACAACAAATATCAAGTAGAAAGTAACTGATTTCAACTTATTTCTACTTAAGTTGTTAAATAATTAAGAGATTAGGGAATTAAGGACATAAATAAAACTCTTCTGAAAGAGCCGAAATATTACTTAAACAAAAGCTTAACCGAACCGATCTCTAGCCGAGTACAGTGGGGACCGATTTCTCCTAATATTAGATGTAATAAAGAGAGAAATTTTTCCAGTTCAATGAGAATGACCGAAAAGTATATTTTGGAAATTTCCGTAAACACCTAGTCAGAAAACGAATTAGTTAGAAAACAAATGACGAACAATCTATTACGTTTAAACTCCAAGAAAACAAAACTCTGATTGTAATTGCTTAAAATTTGTTTTTCATATGATAGATATAAACCATGCAAATAATTGTCGAGTCTTGTCGATTTTTCATCTCGTAACTGTTAAATTTAAAAAAAAAATAATAGATACATTGTAAATATCAGTTTACTGAACTCTTTAGAATGTACTGCTACAAACCTAAGCTCCCTGAACAGTGTGTTAAGCAGAGATTTTCGTCGTGAAGCATAAATGCCTCGAAATCAATAATCGTCTCTATATTAGAAAATTAGGTTGAAAATTTGCAATAATAATAATTTTTAATCCACAGCAATTTAAAATAATAACCAATATTGTAGCAAAAGGTGATGATTGTAACAAAAATTACAGCTCTAATTATACTTAAATTTAAAAGATATTGAGCGGTTTTTTACTACAATAGTTATATAATAAAATTGTTCAAATACTGGATATAAGAGACTGGTTCGATACTTTCCCAAGAACATCTTTTGTAAGAACCTCTTATACGAAATCATCATCTTCAGAAAGTAAATATTTTTATTTAAAACTTTGGCCCCAGAATACGGCCCCAGGGGCCATATTCTGGTCATTGTCTCTGGTTTCTTGTCTCTCGCAAGCCGGTCGCTGATTGGCTAATCCAAATGATTAGGGAATCAGCGACCGACTTGCGACAGAAGAGAGACCAAAGACAGTGACCAGAATACTGCCTCAGGTATCTTTAGGCAATCAAATGATAATTGATGTTCAGGGAACTTCACGTAAAAGGTCGATTTCTGTTAAAACATACTATTCTATGAAATATACCAAATTAACGTTATTTAATCGAAGAAATAATAGCAAATTTTTGATAAGGCGGAAGGACTCCATATTAGACACAACCGCCTAACTTATGCTAAGGTAATGATAATGATAACATCCCTTACATTTTTGGAAAAATAACATTTTATTGCAATCAAGACGTTTCACTTCATAAATTCGTATAAACTGAATGCAAACAAGACACGAGTTCACTGCTTTGATTTTTACTCCATTACATTGGTGTTCTCATTTTTCTTTTCACTGTTGCTTCTAGTTTTCAAGTACAGAACATCGAAACTGTAAATGAATTACAATTTCTACTTTTATAATATACAATATCGTGTCTAGTGTTTTGTTCTCTTTTTTTCGCGATTGTATACATTTTATATAAAAAGAAAGTAGGGTTTATCGAACTAACTGCTATATAATCATAGTGTTTCTGTTAATAAGAAGCACATATTAATTATTTGAATATCTTAAATATCTTTATTAAACTTAGATTCATATAATTTTCATTTTATATCATATCAGAAAAATACTAAAATAAATTACAAATTTTTTGTATCCAATATATTATTAACTAAATAATTAATGTTTGGCCCAATTCATATAATACAGCTAGTATATTGTTAACAACAGTTTATTTTACGTAAAATTAAATATGAGAAATGATTAATGTGATAAATGAATAAAATGCAATAAACAACAAAAATAGTATTAATGTAAAGCAAATTTAATATGAAATACAATAAATGAGTAATGTTGAATAAAAGTATAATTGTTTCGATACAGTTTCTAAATTCATTCGCCGAGATTATGTGATATAGGCCAATGTTAATATTGATATATATTTGAAACAAAAATTACCCAAACGTACTATACATATTAGTAAATATCTTACAACATTCGTCTTTTTTCTACACGCATTCTTATACCCGGTATTGGGGTCAACATAACTGCGTATGAAATAACGATTTTGTCCTGAGGATCCAAAGAGTAGACTTTAAAATTTCGAAGAACATTTGCCAAAACCATTTTCATTTCAATCATGGCAAGTTTACTTCCTGTAAATAAATTATTTTAATAAAATATTTTTTTTTGTTTTTGTAATTATTCACTAATCACTTACCGAGACAATTTCGTGGCCCGGCAGAAAATGCCAGAAATGCATAAGGATGAAGATTTTTATAGTTTTCAGGCAGGAAACGGTCTGCATCGAACACTTCGGGATTTTCGTAAACAGAAGGATTATGATGGATGCCATAGATGTTTATGAAAAGAGTGGAATTTGCAGGCAACACGTAATTACCTATTTCAATGACAACTGTTTAATACTTCAAGTCAATAAAAAATATAAAAAATTATTGTTGAAAAACAAATTCCAAGATATCAAAAATTACTTATTTTCATTTCCGAGGAATTTTTTCTTCCAATAAAAGGAGTTGGAGGATAGATTCTCATCGACTCCTGAGAATTGCAATATATAAAACTAATCTTTAAGTGTATTTAAAGAAATCAAGAAGTTACCTTAATTACGCATTCTAAGTACGTCATTTTCGTCAGGTCATCGATAGTAATATCCCTATTCATATCGTTTATGAAAATTTCTTGCAATTCTAGATACACTTTCTCTTGTATTTCGTGGAATCTTCCCAAAAAATAANCTATTAAAATTATTTATAATCTTAATTTACTCGAAATTTTTTATCTGAAAATAATTTATATCTTGAAAAATTATTATGTGCAGAAATATATCTTGCTTTAGATAAACTGAAGAAAAAAGTGGAAACACTTAAATAAACTGTAACATAAAAATAAAAACCTTCTCAAAATAATTTCAATGTTATATTATTTCATACAATTATCGTGTTTTAATTTTATTCGATATTAAAACATTTAATTCTTTCATATTTTAAAAATTTACTTGAATATTCTCAACATTCGGATTATTTCCTTTGAGTAAAAATTACTTTTGTGATTAAAAAAATGAATTTTGTGTTTAGTGCCACTCAAATTTGTTTAGGAAATTCATTGAAAAATTAATTTTGTGATATGAAATAATTCCATTGAACAAATTTTAATTTGCAATTTAAAAATTTTTTTGTAATTTTAATTTTGTGAGTACTTATTGTTAAAATAAAATAAAATTTAAATTTAATAATTAGTACAGCCTTATAGTTAAATTTAATTAAGATTTGTGAGTGAAAAATTAATTTTGTGATCTGAAATACTTCCATTTGAAAAATTTTTATTTGCAATTTTAATTTATTCAACATCTGAAATTAATTTTGTGATCAGTATGTGTCAAACAACTACTACTCTTAAATTACTAAAATTTAATAGCATAAATGACCTTTAACACAAAGGTCACCATGCCTTGTTTCCATTGTTCAATCTTTACCTCATCTTTCATATATTAAAGAAAAATGATGAGAAGACACACACCAAGATACATACATATCCACAAATTTATGTTTTCCCTATTTGATTTAGGAGGTGTCTAAACTTACAAATTTACAAAAATTCAAAGGGTGAAATTTGACACGGTCCGAATACTTATCTTTGTTCTGCATACACAACAGCCTGGGAAGTAATACAAAATTAATTATACGGTCTGTTTTTGCATGAAAAAAAGTTTCTGCTACGAGAAGTTTCCCTCAGTTGAACTGCGTTTAAGAGACACTTTGTGGCTTTAATCCGAACTGCTTTAAAAAATAGTCAAACTTTGTCAGCTGAAAAAACTTTAATTTTATTTTTGAACATAAATGTATACAAAGATTACATTTCCATAATATAATAATAATAACGATAACTTATAGTATTATTTTATTAACAAAAAATGGGACCTCATTGGACTTTATTAAACCCTGGGCCCGAAAAACCTAGATCCGCCCCTGTTTATCGCGCCGAATGAAAAATCTCACACATTTTAAAATTCTTTAAATTCTGTACAGTAGAAGAATAAAGAATTTTTAAATGTGTTACATTAGTCATTCGGTGTGATAATCCTTTACATACAACAATAATCTTAGTTTTATGAATCAAATACTATAATATAACAAAGAATAAAACGAAAACCATAAAAACATTTTTGTTATTTCAGCCAACAATTGTCACGTTTAAGCGATACTCAAATGGTAATAAATGGCACACTTTCATTGGTCAAGTAGACACCAATTGAAAATACAATACCTTAAAAATTTGAAGATATCATATTTCTCCTGATGTTTTCTTTAACGAACTGTTTCATTCACAGCCGAATATTAAACGGTAATCTGCTAACCAATCAAATTTCGCGAAAAATGGACCATATATATAAATTCGGCACCCTTGAAAACCATTTCAAACATATTTTGTGCTGGATGGTAACGTTGTGTTACGTAATTTTCTATTAGAATTCTGGTCCGATAGAAAGAAGGGGCAGTTGCAAAAGCAGGGTGAAGTAAATTAGACTTAAAGTAGTAGTTGACCTCTTCCCGTAAGAGAGGATGGTTAGAAACTACTAATTAAAACCAGTCTACTATTAATACCTGAAAAGTGATCTGTGTTAGATAGGTTGTGATGGCCTTGCTAACGTTGGAACTTGCTAACGTTAACGTCCAAAAAGCTTCATATGAAACTTGTTTAAATAACAAAATCTTGTAAAAATACGAGAATAATTACTTTTAGATGATCCCATAAAAAACTGACAAAAACTGGTGAAACGAAGATGAGAAAGTAAAGCTCAGCAACATGAGTAAAGGAAACTATTCGAAGTTGTGGCACAAGAATAGTGGAAGCAGATTTGAAGATTTGACAGTAAGATTCAACATGTGAATAAAGTGCACATCACACAGACTACAACTACAGGAAATTTTTAATAAAGCAATGTCGCCATGATAATAGATAGGAAAAATAAACATCTGCACAGGAAAAATACTTCGAGATCTTTTTTGTGTTTTAAAATCGTTGTATGCCCTGTACAATAATTTTGCAGAAATTTCCAAACAAAAAAACGACGATTATATGTGCTATCGTTATTGTCTTCATTGCCGTCTGGGCTTTTTTTAAACTCTTTCCGCCCTGTGGCACTAAGAGGGCCTCTTTTTGCAAGCCAATTATGGGTTCGGCCAGGCCCACAATGGTGCTTCCGGGTGGTGAGGGTCAGGGCCCGACATATCCGAACAAACCACCCCCCGAAAAATTCCTGGGGATTTTTCGACCCGTTCGGATTCGAACCCGGGGTCCCCCAGAGCGGTGGGCTGCCACCTTGACCGATCGGCCATCCGGCCGCATGCCGTCTGGGCTGCCGAGAGGTAACAGTGAACGTCATGTGGGAGTAGTTGAGTCAGAGATCGATGCCTCGTTTACAAATAACACAATCCGTTTATTAGACAATTTAACTTACAAAAAGTTCTACAGTCACGAAGGCTTGAAGTCCTTGTATACTTCGGCACGCAGTATTCAAAAAAGAAGAGGAAAGTCCGGCGAAGAAAGTGGTTTTCATTCGCTGACCGGATGTTGCATTCTAAGTCTAGTTGTCGAAAAGAAAACGATGTCCGATGAATGCAGATTGGAATGTTTGAAGTTTCTCTCAACGAAAGTCTAATACTTTCAAAGGATACATTGGCAAAGAATGAAGATGGAACCTTGCAGGAAGCACCCCAACAAGGGACATAACTTGGTGGGACGCCACGGCAAAAATACGTGATTTACTATAAAATGTATAACTACAATCAAATCGAAAGTAATCTTTTCTTATTATATCGTGAGTATTTGCCGTTAAATGCCATTATTAAAGAAACAATAATGATAAATGGGCGTTGGTGGTATCAATGTTTATATAAACGTCATGTGTTACGATATAACCCCAAAGAAAATTCAGTATTGAAAAACTAAACTTATTGTGAGATAAGCCCGGGGGGGTACCTGCCAAGGGTATCACATAATCGGCACAAAATCGTAAGAATCGATCTCTAAATCCTTTTCTAAGAGGGCGGTAAATGTTTAAGAACGATCCGGACAGTGAAGTCTAGATCTACGTCAGGTCCCGACACCAGTTAATCAAATTAAGATACGCGGATTAACACGCGTGTGATTTGATTCAGACAAAGATGAGACATTTCTTTAAACAAATAATAAAATATTTAATAAAATAAAAGTAAAAAAAATTACACAAATGGAATAGATCCAATTGTAATTAAAGGAATGAGACAATGGATTACTTAAAATATACGCTTCTTTAAGAGAGAGAGAGAGCTCACAAATGTAGTTATAAACATTCTACTTCAATTTACTTTATCTTTATCTTCTTCTGTATTCTCGGGGCATTCTTCATTTAATGGAGAAGTCTTGATTTGGCACAAAATTATAAATTCTCTTCCTTTTTACTATATTAACTCACTAGCTTACCCGTCGTGCATTGCTGCGATCTCAGAAGACAGGAAATTCAAGCAAACTCGTTATGATAAAATTAAATTTACATTTTATAATTTTTATTGAAACTTATTATTATTCAATTAATATGCATCTATGTCTTTAATTTAATAAAAATTATTCTTTCAATCACTATATCAGTGTATTTCTATTAATAGGACTTATCATACTGGTGTATAAGATTACAGCCTTACAGTTACACAGATTAAAATTGTTTTATTTTTCAATTACCAGGTAATTGGAAAATAAAACAATTTTAATCTGTGTAACTGTAAGGCTGTAATCTTATACACCAGTATGATAAGTCCTATTAATAGAAATACACTGATATAGTGATTGAAAGAATAATTTTTATTAAATTAAAGACATAGATGCATATTAATTGAATAATAATAAGTTTCAATAAAAATTATAAAATGTAAATTTAATTTTATCATAACGAGTTTGCTTGAATTTCCTGTCTTCTGAGATCGCAGCAATGCACGACGGGTAAGCTAGTGAGTTAATATAGTAAAAAGGAAGAGAATTTATAATTTTGTGCCAAATCAAGACTTCTCCATTAAATGAAGAATGCCCCGAGAATACAGAAGAAGATAAAGATAAAGTAAATTGAAGTAGAATGTTTATAACTACATTTGTGAGCTCTCTCTCTCTCTTAAAGAAGCGTATATTTTAAGTAATCCATTGTCTCATTCCTTTAATTACAATTGGATCTATTCCATTTGTGTAATTTTTTTTACTTTTATTTTATTAAATATTTTATTATTTGTTTAAAGAAATGTCTCATCTTTGTCTGAATCAAATCACACGCGTGTTAATCCGCGTATCTAAATTTGNAAAGGGGGGATACCTAGATCGGTAAAATACGCGAATTTCTTCCTACAATTTCGGTTGTTGTTCGGGGTACAGTTAAGGTTTTAACGAAGTTCGAGCGAATACATAATTAGCAAAAAAAAGTTGAAATAAAGTGATTGAACAAAAATTATTACAAATATCGTAAATAACAGTTCACAAATGCGTATGTAGAGATATTTTTTAAAAGGGGGAAATGGTCTTCACAATTTGAAATAGATCGAACACAGTGCTCGAATGCTCGTGTAAACGCGCGCCATCTATTGTAGGATAAATGTACTTCGGGGGAGTGTATTAAAAATCTTTCCAAAGTTTCATGGCAATCGTACTATGCCACAAACCTTTACGGGGGTGTATTAAACAACTTCTCAAAGTTTCACAGCAATCGGATAAACGGTGTGGTAATGCATGAAGGACACACACACACACACACATGCATTCATTTTTATATATATAGATTATTATAGTTGATTGGATACGACTAAGGGCGTTGGCCTTAGGAGCAAATATGGACTACGTCGATCTCATCTGGGATCTTCTGGCGTACTCCTCGAATTCTGAAAACTTTGACTATATCTCCTGATTTGCGACCAATCAGCATACTGGGATTTTCTCACGTGAACGGATGAAAAGGGGAATTATTGAGGGGTCGACAATTCCCATGGTGGTGAGATTTGTGTTAGATAAGTGGAAAAACAAAGGATGCTTCAACTTCCGTTAAAGGAAGTGGCTGTTTTATCAGTTTTTCCACTTTAGAAAACCGTTAATTTCACACCGAAATGAAAGAATATTTTAGTTTATATTTTTAACTTGATTTTTAAATTGTGAATTAGACCCAGGGGCTATTCGGATTTCACATTATTTTACATCAGAAACACCTGCTGATGAAAGAATAATAGAAAGAGATTTCACAGCCTGTATAATTATTTTAGTAAAAGCCCATAATTTTTAGTACTTGGTTAGTTGTAGTGGTTTGACACATACTGATCACAAATTAATTTCAGATGTCGATTAAATTAAAATTACAAATAATTTTTAAAATTAAATTAAGATTGCAAATAAAAATTTGTCGAATGCAATTATTTCAGATCACAAAATTAATTTTTCGATCACAAATCTTAATTAAATTAATTTTATTTTAACAATAAGACAAAGTTTAATATATTCTTTCTAATTATTATAAAATTAATTTGCTCTTGAGTCGATCGCGATTGAACCTCGTTTCAGTCAAGATTGAAACGGTCGAGGGAGGTCACACCAAGGCAAACGAGTTATAAGGATCTAGTTTAGTAGTATTTCAGAGTATAATACATATATTTTAATATATTTTTTAAAAGAAACAAAACTACTGAGAAATGTTATGTGTGTTTAACAAGGTTCGGAGGACTTTGATAATGTTAACAGCGGGTTTGGAAAAACCTGTGCGAACCCTCTGAATATCACCACTGAACGTAATAAAGACAGAAATTTTTCCATTTCAATGAGAGTGACCGAAAAATTGTAAATCTTGGAAATTTTCGTGGACACCCGGTCCTGAAATGAATTAGTTAGAAAACAAACGACTATTAAGTTTAACATATGTAGATTTTTACAGTTATGGTGAGAGACGTTTAAAATGCACAACAACCTTGTCACGTCTTTTGAAATATAGCCTGCTAGTGATGCGACAAAAGAGGCATTTGACATTGACCGGTATTAGCACCCTCGGGATTCGGCAGCCCGCGTGCATGCACCTACCAGGACCGTCTCTGATTCCATCCATTAGTCACTCGTAGAAAGCTATTTGACTAACTTGTAAGTGGATTATTTTTAGATTTAAAAAGTAAAAAATATTTTATGTTATTTTTATGTACGTTTCTTTACAAAGCTACATTTATTTATAATTTTCTTTAAAAGTATATTCATATAATTGAAGAATATTTTGTACCAGGTATGTGTACAGGTAAGTTCTTATAATTTTATTTTTAATTTTAGCCCTTATATCGTGGCTAGCGATTCAGAATGTAATTGTGATATTGAAAATTTATTTCAAAAAAGTTTTGGCTCGAGACCATATAACGAAAAAGAAAGCATTATTAAAAGAGAAAGACCAATGCCTAAATTAAATATAAATACGTCGACAAAAAATTTGTTCGACATTTTTTCGATAAAATTTATCAAGACATAAAATGGCTCTGTGGATGCATAAAAATGCAAAAATTCTTTTGTTGGCCTTGCCTACTATTTTCAAATGAAATTAGTGTGTGAAATAAAAATGGCTTTGAAAATTTAAATAATTTGAGTAAAGCTGGCAAAAGACCGTAAATGTCGCATCGATTGTCTCGTAAAATTGAAGCAATTTAGAAATCAAAGCGGAATAGAATTTAACATTAGTAAACAATATAAATAAATATTGAAAATTATCACTTAATTACGGCTAATAGATATATTATATCTAAATTAATAGATGTTATATGTTTTCCTCAAAGTAAGATTTGGCATTTAGAAGGCATAGGGAATCTATTGAATCAAATAATAGAGGTAATTATATTGAACTTGTTTATTTATTAAGTACGTCAGGTACTCTATTAAAAATACACTTAATGAAGTGTACGGATGTTACTATCTTATCGAACAAACGAATAAGAATGAACCCTGACACGCAATTAACTGATTGCCCCTGTAAGTCGGCTTCTTACAGAAACACAGCTTCCCTATCATGAAGTGTCACTGCACGCCACAGCTATTCTATGAAATATATCAAATTATTTTTAATCAAAGAAATAATAGCAAATTTTTGATAAGGCGGAAGGAGTCCGTAATAGACACAATTACCTAACTAAGATAATGATGATAATAACATTCTTTACATTTTTGGATGATAACATTTTATTGCAATCAAGACATTTCACTTCATAAATTCATATAAACTAAATGCAAACAAGACCCAAGTTTACTGCTTTGACTTTTGCTCTGTTATGTTGGTGTTCTCATGTTTCCTTTAACTGTATCTTCAGTTTTCAAGTACAGAACATCGAATCTATAAATGAAATACAATTTTTACTTCTATAATATACAATATCGTGTCTAGTGTTCTGTTTCTTTTTTCCGCAATTGTATACATTTTATATAAAAGGAAAGTAGAGTTTATCGACTATCTACTATATAATCAGTGTTTGTGTTAATAAGAAGAACATATTAATTATTCAAATATCTTAAATATCTTTATTAAACGTAGATTCATACAATTTTCATTCTATAGCATATCAGAAGAATACTAAAATCAAATGCAAATTTGTATCCAATACATTATTAACTGAATAATTTATGTTCGGCCCAATTCGTAGAATACAGCTATTGTATTGTTAAAAACAGTTTAATTTACGTAAAATCAAATATAAGAAATGATTAATGTCATAAATGAATAAAATGCAATAAACAACAAAAATAGTATTAATGTAAAGCAAATTTTATAAAAATAATCGTAATACATTTTATTGTTATCACTTTCATCTACAAAAATATAAAATACAATTAATGAATAATGTTGAATACAAGTATAATTGTTTCGATACAGTTTCTATTGATAAATACACTTGTCGATATTATATTATATAGGCCTATGTTTATATTGATGTATATTTGAAACAAAAATTACCCAAACGTACTGTACAGTACATCTTAGTTAATATCTTACAACATTCGTCTTTTTTCTACAAACATTCTTATACCCGGTATGGGGGTCAACACAACTGCGTATGAAATAACGATTTTGTCCTGAGGATCCAAAGAGTAGACTTTAAAATTTCGAAGAACATTTGCCAAAACCATTTTCATTTCAATCATGGCAAGTTTACCTCCTGTAAATAAATTATTTTCATAAAATAATTTTTTGTTTTGTATTTATTCACTAATCGCTTACCGAGACAATTTCGTGGACCGGCAGAAAATGCCAGAAATGCATAAGGNAAGTTTTAAATGTTAAGAAATTATAAATTAATCCGAAATTACAATTATTATTTACTATAATAATCAATTACGTTATTTGGGAAAACATTAGTTTACTTCAAAATAATATAAATAAGCACATTGAACTACACGCGTGCACGATTATATACTGTACTTATTTTCGTTGAGACCTTCAGTAAATTGTGCCTACCGCGAAAATAAAACCTTCCATATCTCTTATAACGTCTTCTTCAGACATTAAACCTTGTTTTACGTGAAGATCCAACAGTGAATCGATAAGACGTTGTTTTGTATTCATCTTTGGTTCCTCTTCATTACGTGTTCCATTGTTTAAGGAATGTTGCTGCTGCATTTTTTTCAGAAAGTTTTCTTTTTTTCTCTTGAACATCTACGCATTAAATTAAATCATTAATTACTTAAATCACAACACAAAATTTTATCCACATGTTGAGTTTACCTTTTCGTCGAAACGATGAATTATTTCAACATCTCTCTTGAAATTTTTTCCCATTTTACTCATGAAGAAAATTGGGGAAAGCCAGTACATTGGATTTAATAGCCATTGAGGAAAATACTTGAAAATTCTAAATTTTAATATAAATTTATTAATATATCAAAAGATAATTAATTCAAATTTAAAGCTTGGATAAGAAATGAAGTACTGTCAACTTGGAAGATGTTAAAAATTTACCTATTTTCATTTCGGAAGGATTTTTTCTTCCTATAAGTGGAACAGGAGGATAAATTCTCATCGACTCCTGAAAATTATAATGTATGAAACTAATTTTTGAAAGTATTATAAAAAATGAAAAATTTACCTTAATCACGCATTCTAAGTACGTCATTTTCGTCAGATCATCGATAGTAATATTCCTATTCATCTCATTTTCAAAAATTTCTTGCAATTCTAGATACACTTTCTCTTGTATTTCGTGGAATCTTCCCAGGAAATAGAGAGTCCATGACATGGCGTGGGCGGTCGTATCGTAACCCTGATATTCAAATACATTGAAATGGTATGTAAAACTGCATTCTTTTTAATGTATATTTTTAGTAAAATAAATATATTATAATAAACTTGTAAAATTAGGACATGACATTGATAAATCCTGTTTTTTTTTTTCATATTCCTGTGATATCGCTTTACAATCCACAACCACATTTTATGTAGCAAGTCTTTGCCGCGCATGTTCTGGCTAAATTTTACAAAATGTTGAAGCATCCAAACTGGGTGGAAAAGTACACAATGACATACAACATCCACGACTTAGAAATTCTATATTTTAGCTTCATAAGGTAAGAAGCTAAGGTTTTAGCTTCGAAAGAGAAGTAGATTAACATCGATGTCAAAATACAGTAAAAAACCAGGATTTACGAAAGTGTTATTTTCAACGTCGTATTCTCGAATCATAGTTTAACACCACAAATTTGCCACATTTCGCATCTGCAATTCAGGTATCCCTTCATACTATTTATGACAAAATATCAAAAATGATATTTCCAGAGAATACTGTTTTGTCCAATAAGAAAACAGTTCAGGAAGGTTCAAATAACGCAAATCGTGTCTGGCGTAAGTTTCGGAGAAAACATGGGAAAAAAGGCGTCATTTTCCGAAAAACACGCCTTGATATATGGAATCGAAAATAAAAAATAATATTAATAGAAAAGACTGTTACTTCTTGAGGAAAACGTAATTATTGGAGATTAGGCCTAATTTGTGAAGAAATACAGTACACTATTAACACTTCAGTTAGTAGTTTACTGCGTATAGAAACATAGAAAAAATTTGACATAAATAGGGAGAGATTAGAAAACCGTTTCAAATTAAAAGGTAATTAAAATTTTAAATAATTCATTTTGACAATTTTGTTTATAATTTTAACATGGGTAAGAAAATACAATGCTACACATGTACGCCATTGCAAAGGAAGATTCAGTTCGTCAATGAAACTAAAAATTCTACCCTCGATATTCGATATAATTTGAATAATTCTATGAACAAATTGTCTTCGGTCGATAGACGAAATAAGTGATGAACTGTGTAATTAGTCGATCGAGAAAGCAAAATACTCGTCGGCCCGCTTAAATTGTCTTGACTTACAAAAATTTACTGCATGTGGTAATATAACGACGTAGCTATATTTACGACATTTCCGGTTATTCCGGATTATGGACAGAATTATTTCGAATTACGAAAATTTTTCGGTCATCATCTCAGATATTATTCGCTTTGAATACTTTCAATCGTATTTATAAACGGAAATTGATTAACTAATATTCGAGAAAATAATTTGATAATGGAAAATTATTACCACAGAACTGAGTCATATATTTACAAACTACTGTTTTAATAAAGAAATATGAAAACACGCATTCGAAATGGACCAGATATAAAGTCGAAAAAGTAAGACTTCTATCCTTTTTTACCCGACTTTCCCGAAATAATTATATATAATAATCTGCTTCGAAACGTTAAAAATTTTCCGATAGATACACACTTTTAATTTGTCAAAATTTTACCTTTTTTGTATCTGTAAATATAGAGAAAATATATGCTAATTAATAAATTATTTCTTTTATATCCGAACTTTCTTTCAATGATATTTATCATAATAAAAATATAAAAGTACAAAATTCAAATTTCAGCACTACAAAGTTTTAAATGTTAAGAAATTATAAATTAATCCGAAATTACAATTATTATTTACTATAATAATCAATTACGTTATTTGGGAAAACATTAGTTTACTTCAAAATAATATAAATAAGCACATTGAACTACACGCGTGCACGATTATATACTGTACTTATTTTCGTTGAGACCTTCAGTAAATTGTGCCTACCGCGAAAATAAAACCTTCCATATCTCTTATAACGTCTTCTTCAGACATTAAACCTTGTTTTACGTGAAGATCCAACAGTGAATCGATAAGACGTTGTTTTGTATTCATCTTTGGTTCCTCTTCATTACGTGTTCCATTGTTTAAGGAATGTTGCTGCTGCATTTTTTTCAGAAAGTTTTCTTTTTTTCTCTTGAACATCTACGCATTAAATTAAATCATTAATTACTTAAATCACAACACAAAATTTTATCCACATGTTGAGTTTACCTTTTCGTCGAAACGATGAATTATTTCAACATCTCTCTTGAAATTTTTTCCCATTTTACTCATGAAGAAAATTGGGGAAAGCCAGTACATTGGATTTAATAGCCATTGAGGAAAATACTTGAAAATTCTAAATTTTAATATAAATTTATTAATATATCAAAAGATAATTAATTCAAATTTAAAGCTTGGATAAGAAATGAAGTACTGTCAACTATTAAATCTACATAAAATTTAAAATTATATTTCGTGTGAAAAACATTATAGAATTGTACTTAAATTAAANCAAATATTTTGCGTACTATAATCATTTTTTTCTATTTTTATGGTTATAAAATGTAAAAAAACTTTATAATTGTTAGAAAGTTGTTTATGTGACCTTTGTCTTTGTGATCGTCGCGCCCTCTCCTCTGCTATGTGTGGGGTCTGTGGAGTTATGTTCGTCAAGGGAGTTGTACTCTGGTCCAGTATAGTGAAGTTTGGAATGTGTGCTATGGTCTAACGGACATCGCTTTCTAGTTCTCTCCACTTTCTTTGTGTCAACTTCGACATTACCCTTCATCATATCCAAACCCTGACAATTATTATTTCACGTCGTAATTAATTTATTTCTGAGAGATATAAGAAATAAGTTGCTACACTTTATACTTTTATATGTAAATTGGATATTTGATCGTTAAGTTTACGCTATTGTGAGCCCGCAAATTTTTAAGGGGATCTTAAAATTAACGCTAATCGGTTTTTTCAAAATGTAAACAACCGCGGAAAAAAATTGAGAGTAAGATTGGAGGTCGAAGGGAAAGTTGACATTTAGTTGTGAAGACTGCAATGTCATCGTCAACAACGGACGATCATGTGACCCCTTTCCCACAACAATTGTATAAAAGCAAGAGCTGAAAGCTCCAGGCAATTGAAAGGAAGTTGTACTTGAAATAATGCACATAAAATTTCCAAGTTCTTGATCCTGTCGAGAAGACAATGTACAAGGACAGTGATTCTTTCTTCGTCGCATACAGTTCCTTCACGCATACAGGTATTTTCGATAGCGATCTGAGAACTCTCTCTCCACAGCTAACGGGAATTGGCTTAGCTAAGAGCTACCCTTTTTGTATAGAACTTCGTTAGTATTTAACCGCATTTAGCTTCCTATAACCTTTTGTAATTTAGATTTAGTTATGTAATAAATTTTTGTTTATGTCTGTTAAAAACCTGTCTGCTGTCACTCTGAAACATGGCCGACTACCTTTACTCCTTCGCCACTCGTGTAAAGCCTCCAAAAGACAAAGTGGGCGAGTTTTACCAACTCGACTGTAAGTGGCAATTAGGGTACAGACCCTGTGCCCTTGTATTCTCACACTATCATAAAGACTTCTCCTACAGTATTGAAGCAACAGAAGAAAAATACGAATATTAATGAATACTAATTATTTATTATTACAACACGAAATGTAATAAATTTTCACATACTCAAGTACTAATAGTTTACGAAAATTATTATTTTCGTAAACTATTAGTACTTAAGTGTATAAATTATTTTGCCGCCTTTTCTCCATACATGTAATCCTCCTCGAAACTTGTTTTAGTGTTGAAAGATCTCGAATCTTCTGATTTTGTGTTGCCAGATGTTTTCCCTTATTCCATAGTTGCTTTATTCTTCATAAGTGCTTTGCACCATACGAGGAAATTTATAAAGATCTTTTAACTGAAAGCAAGCAATTTAAAATAACATATTTTTTGCAAAAGGTAGAGCATGGATCTGAAGATAATGCAGAAAAATGCTAATAGGATAAGGATATCTTGCGAAAAAGAAAACCCCTTCGGTTAATAGTGCTTAATGAGGACGAAGAAAACGTTGTTTAATTTATATTAATATGTATCGCTTAAGAAAATTTTAATAAAGATATTTATCTTAATTATGAAAATATAATAGCATGTTTTTTTTAATTTTTGGCACCTAAACCCCTTTTCATACTTTGTTTCGTATAACACCGATTTTCATAACACGTGAATTATTTGGAACCTAACTTCCCGTGTTATACGGGGGTTGGTTACCTGTATTTATTATGATCACCACGTATAGCAATAATACTTCTTTATAATTTACAAACTTTTAAAATTCGTTTAGTCGATCAAAAATAAAAATTTGGAATATTTCATATTTATTCTACTGAAGTTGACATGAACATTTTAAAAATTTCATCAGATAAAATGTGACATCATATTATTTAATATAGATATTACATTTGTAAATATTACTTGAAAAACAAATGAAATATTCAACTGAATTTTCCATACCTGTGCATTGCGGACACATATTCTTGATTGTCGTTAGTCTGAGAATGTAGAGAAACTCCTACTGCTATATCTACAGTGCACAGAAATAAATTAATATTTATATTTTTAAAACAAATAAATGCACGTCGTATGAAAATAGTATTCAGTTTCGAGAAGGCAACGCAGAACAAAGTAATTT